TGCACTTGCCTGGCATCTTGGACTTTGGTTTGTCCTTTTAGTTTTGTTGGGTTTTTAGTTTATTATATAGCTCCCTGACTTATGTTGTAGTTTTCTGTAGCAGTCTTTGTGTTGCTTTGTCAGGTCGAGCCCCCTTAATTCTACTTGTTTTTTTGTTTTGTATCAGTTATATTGAAACTCACTAAATACTGTACCTCAGTCTATGTCTGCATTTGGCTCCTCCCTAAGCCTGAATCTAACATAGATGAGCACAAAATGATGGATCAAATATGATGCACAAAGATATGTAAAACATCACTGTTTTTGATGGGTGTTCGGACATAATCTCGGTATCTGCTGAAAGTCTGCACTTTCAATCGTGTTATACAGCTTGTGATACTGATATTAATAAAATTACTCACTCTATGCAGTGCCCTGTCCACTGATACCTAGGGGTTACAATGTCCCTCACATGTTTTGGCTGGAGACTTTTCCTCAAAGCATCACAGTGTTCACTTGGTTTCATATATTCAAGACAATAAAACTAAATGACCTCATTTCAAACAGGTGTACAATGAACCAAACAGTGATGCAACATCTTAGTTCCCTCCAACAGTTTGAGAACCTTTTGTATTTACTGTTGTTCCTGTGATAGAGGCAGCCCTGAGGGTTGGTATATGTGCGCAGACAGTTCAAATGGTCGTTATGGTCATACCACTGACCTGCACACACCTGTCATCTCCTCCACTGGGCCACAATGCACCCTGGTCTTCTGGTATCACATGGGTGGATTCACCGTGGGATCACTAAAGGTACGACGCACACTCGCAGGAGAATAGCCCTGATCTCTGTGTACGAGTTCTGTCTCAGAATTGAGTTACAAAAATGTGTATATTTATCTCTTATCTGCAGGTGCTGCTGAAGTACAGAAATGTCACTCACGAGGTTTGGTCTCAGACTGGTAACCAAGGCAACAAATGGAAACGAGGAGAAGTGTTTTTGGGGTTATTAAACAAGTTCCAGGTCTGTAACTTGGCACTGACTAAATTAGTTTAATCAGTAATACTGCATCACCTGTTTGCTTTGCTCCTGGTTATCAAGAGAAAAAAGGTGCTGCAGTTCTTGTGACTCCACTCCCAAATTATTGCCTTTATTGGCTGAAGAATCACAAGAAATATATGGCTATTGAATTAAAAAAAGGAACTGTAGCTTAGAGACCAAGATTTTCTGACCTTTCCTACAATTCCCATAATGAAACTAAATAGCACATTTTCATTAGACAAATTTTCAGTAGACCCTCTTGTCTGGTAAACAGTCCGTTAATCATATTTTCAAGGCTGGATCAGAAAACCAAGGACTTTCCCCACAGGAGAGCCGTTAGATTCCAGTGTGAAACATTGTTTAATCAACCTTTTCACTATTGTAACCCTGTGTTTTATCATTATGAGGAAGGAGGTTTTAACCTGAGGCACAATTTAATCTTATCTAAATGTAACCAAATTTTGTGCCTAAACATAATGAAATTACGACATTTCTATAATCCTAATGGCACATTGAATACAATTAAACAGCTGCTTGTGGGTGTAACCATGTGTTCAGGACTGTTTCCATGATGGCGATGTACCATTACATTTTCTGGTGTGATGTATTGTCTCATGTTATGGGAGTTCTTGCAATCCCATCTGCCAACATGGTAGCGCCATTTCATGAGATGGTCCTGTGGGTCATGAGAGAAGGGACATGTGTATTTCATAGTGCTTGTTATCACCTTCACATGTGATTCATAATATTGACAGTCAAAAACAGCCTCTGATTGTTCACATTGGTGTCATTTGCCTAATTTCTGCTAAGGCAGGCTAAATTGGACACACAGACTTAATGGTCAATGACGAATTGAGTTTGACTCAGTCTTAAGTTGAGTGACTAATTAGACTTGCACGCCCTTTATGATAACTCGTTACTAAGGTTATTCCAGGTCATAACTACACAGACCCTGTGTCAGTCTTGATTTCATGGGAGCAGTCATCCCTTTGGCCAAATACAACAGCTTTGCACAATTTCACTGATGCACATTAGTCTTTGTAAGACCAGACAGTCAGATCTGTGCTAATGGTACAATCAGCAGCCAAAGGGTCTTTTCACACCCAACATCCAAGAACCCTATTTCAGACTTGGTGTCTTTTCATCTGAGCTCATCAAATGACTGCTTCAAGACGCAGAATAACACAACTGATTAGGACAGAAGCTATCTGTATTTTTTCAGTACCTTGCCTGATAACATTAAACATCAACCTGGTGTGAAATATGATTGTTTAAATGACAGACAAGATTAATTTTAGGTTTGTTCCTTGCCAGGTAATGTTCAGGGCGAAGCGAGGGATCAGCTACATGGGCGATGTGGTGATTGACGATGTTAGCTTCCTGGACTGCTCCCCTCCTCTTCCTTCAGATGAGCCATGCACACCTGGGCAGTACGCCTGTGCCAATGGCCAGTGCATCCCTGAGGACAACCTGTGTGATCTCATCAACCACTGTGGGGACAGTTCAGATGAGAACCCTTACATCTGCAGTGAGGCCTCCTCTGATGTCTGACTCCCTGCAAAAGATTAATTTCCAGATCAGTGGGCAGCCTGAATACATTCCTTTTTATTGCTGTCTTTCAGGGGGGTATAGTGGAAGCTGCAATTTTGAGTTTGACCTCTGTTCCTGGCACCAGTGCCGACACGATGACTTTGATTGGGCCATCAAGGCAGGCAGCACTCCAACAGTTGGCACTGGGCCATCAAGTGATCATACCCTGAGAGACCCTTCAGGACACTACCTTTACCTGGAGAGCTCATTCCCACGGGCAGTTGGAGACACCGCACGTATTTCAGGGCCTCTGCTAAGCCACAGGAACACATGGTGCAAGGTGAGGTCATAGGTCTAAAGGCAGGGGTCAGAGTGCAGGTCATGCCAGTGCTAAATTTTTATTTTATTCTTCAAAAAGGTAAAGTGTGATAACAGTACATTTTGGACATGACTGCTTCAACAACGAGCTTATTACTATATACTGTGTTTATAAACCCTTTTTAGAGGATGTGGGAACAAAGGCATGACAAACAAATGCCACCCAACAGCACAATTAAAAAATGTGCATGTGGTAAATGTGCATATTTGCCTTCTTGCCAAGAGTTGGATGAGATCTCAACACAACTCTGTCTGCTCATTAAATATACAGTAAAGCTATAATAAAGAGATGATTAGCTTTGTTTAGCGTAATCAGTTTAAAATCAGTTCAAAAACAGAAGTGTAAAAAGGGGCAAAGTACATTTACTCAAGCACTGTACTTGCATACAATTTTAGGTATCTATACTTGGGTATTTTCATTTTCTGCTACATCATACTATGTTTTAGAGGCAAATATTGTACTGTTTATTAGAGAACATTAGTTAGTGGTTAGTTTTCATAGTCGGTAATAAAATAAATACCATATAATAAAGCTTTATTTATCCTCAGTGCAAAATCCACCAGCTACCCAGCAGTTCTTCAAATTACAAGCATATTAGGTAGTCAGAGTAGCTGCAACATTAAATGTGATGTACGCAATAATGCTTCAATATGTACAGTCCAATAATATGATATACATTAACTTACTATTGTGCATAATGAGTAGTTTGGTACTTTACATACATTTTGATGCAAATTTTTTTTGTACTTGAGCAACATTTTGAATTCGTAACTTTTACTTAAAGTATTTTACACTGTGGTATTGCTCGTGTTAAGGATCTGAGTACTTCTCCCACTGGTAAAAATGTCATATTTCTCAAAGCATTCATATTCTTGTAAGCTTACAGTCTTAAAAATAGTTTTGGAAATTAATGTAAAAACTGTGTTCTATGATTGTCTTCATGTACTTGGAGCCACAGCTTCAAATTTGATATAATTACAAGGTAATTAGAAACCGAGGTTAGTCTGTGCTTGTGTCCTCCCAGCTGTCAGTCTGATGCTCCACTGGGAATGATCGCTTGACTGACTGTCCGGTTTGCTCTGCCTCATGTCTGTCTTATCCCATCCCTGACCTGTCAATCCATCACGCAGTTAACAAAAAGGCACCAATTAAATTGAAGGGAGGGTTGTGTAGGGGAAAGTGGATGAGAAGGAGAGATGGATAGGCAGTCGTGCACTCCTGAGATGGAGGGAGGGTGTAGTTATGCTGCTGTGGTTTGTGAACATGGCTCCACTGGGAGAAGAAACCTATAAAACATATCACTGCCTCTTTGCTGCATGATGGAGAGAGACAGTTTCTCTCCATCCCCTATAAAAGACAAGACCTGGCATGAAAGTGCATCAAGCTAGTGACACAACTAAATTACCTTTGTCTTTGCATATTTTGCTATTAGGGGGAAAAGTGCTTTCAGTGTCCCTTATAAGACTTAGTGCGTCTCCCAAAAACAAACACATTAAGTAGCAGTGATGGAAATATTTATGAAAAATATAGTACCATTTAAATTACAGTCTCAGTAAAACTATGGTGCTACACCATAAGCTCCTATGGAGTATTTCCAGACTGTTGTAAATGTGAAGAATTTGATGATCATTGTGGGAATAGCTTCTTCACTCTTTGAAAGTCATTGCTGTATTTTGACAGATTTCTCATTTTCTGTTCTTTGCCAAGATGCGTTTCTATTACCACATGTCTGGGGACGGCATCGGGACCCTCAGTGTGTTCAAGAAGAGCGAAGGAAATCTGCATCTCTTGCTGAACCTGACTGGAGATCAGGGCAATTACTGGCAGAGGAGGGAGGTCTTGCTGAGCCACAGGAGAGATTTCCAAGTTGTATTTGAGGGCAAAGTGGGCCGAAGTCCAAAAGGTGACATCTGCCTAGATGACATCAGTCTCTCACCAGGATGTCTGCTCACCTCCTCAGCTGGAATAGAGGACAACACTCCTCCGCCTCCTACAGGTAAACACTGAACTTTGTGAACACTGAGCTATTTTGGTTTACTGCCCCACCAAATCCCACCTCCCATCCAGCTCCCCATGGACTGAAGACACTGCTCAAACCTTCAGTTGCGTTCAACGATTAGGAGTTCCTCTGTATCCCTTACATTCTTTATGAGGCAACACTTTAAGAGATGAGAGTAAACAACAAGACCTTATTTATTGCCGTTGTCACTGCAGCTATAATTGAACTGTTAGATTTATAGTCGTTCTTTTGTATTGGAGGCCAGGGAGCAGTGCCAGGGAGCAGTGAGAGTATCTGCAATGTCTGTGATTATAAATGATGAAACAAGAAGCATTTTGGCCTCTGTAGGAGTCTCCCTGTCATTTTAAGCTGGAGACGCTTCAGTTTAACAGCAATGATTATTTTTTCTTAAAGCCACCTCTTACTCATTTGTGTCAGAGTGGTAAAAATGTTCTCAACTCTTTTTTTTTCTTTATTTTTTTCATCTGAGTAATTTTTCCTTCCTTATCTCTTGGGTGTGTCTTACTTCCAGGGTCCTGTCCTTCAGGCTTCCTGCCTTGTGAAAATGGCATGTGTTTCACTCTGGGGCAGAAGTGTGACTTCATAGACAACTGTGGTGATGGCACTGATGAAAAGCACTGTGGGACTTCCTGCTCCTTTGAGGACGGTCGCTGTGGTTGGAAAAGCTCCCAGGCTGATATCTTTGATTGGACACTGGGGACTGGATCTGTCCACAGTATACGGCCCCTGCATGATCACACTTTGATGGATGAAAACGGTATGTTTGCTTTGCATTTGTGATTGTGTAATTGACAGCTATCAATTCCTCTCTGCTTCATTTTATCACCCTTCTCCTGCATCACTTGTCCTTCTTTCTCATTTTAGGTCATTTTGTTTATCTGGAAGCTACACCACTGGGACTGAAAGGTGACAAAGCTCATATTAGAAGCTCTGTTTGGAAAGAGTCTAGTGCCATCTGCAAGCTCTCTTTCTGGTACTACATTTCCCACAAGGCCTCAGGAACCATTCGTCTGATGATAAAGGTAAACCTTCTGCAGGAGTGTGTTTTGATTCAGATATAATTCATGATGAAGAATGTCCAAGTCTATAAAACAGGCTTTGCAGACCCATCACCATCCATTAAGCATTGTTACCATGGTTACGCTCCATCAGAAATAAAGCTCTGTTATATTAAGTCATGTTAATACAGACAGTAATCCTATCATACTGTATTAGTGCTGCTGTCTAGTGCTCTCTGTAATTTGGTCAAAATATGCTGAGGCTGTCAGTTCCTCTTTCAGGGTTAGATCTCTAGGGCAGGGGTGGAGGTGAGGGATGGTGGTCATGGTCATCCTTTGGTGACCAGCCTCTTCCCACCATCTGGGCACCCACTGTGTTGTCAGCTCTACTATTTTTTCAAGGCTTCTTGCTTGTAAGGCATGCAGCCATTTAGTTTGTATAGCTAACTTTCAGGGATTGTGATTTCTTCTTTCTGCCATTTAAATTTCTCCTGTCTATGGTCTGTGCATTCTCAGCTTCACTTAACTTTGTCAGGAATGGGTCAAGGTGCAGGAGTTGTGCATGAATAGTTTTCTCTGTGTGAATGTGAGGTAAAATGTTTCACATTCAGTTATGCACACCGTGTGCAAGATGTTGGTGCGTCTGTGCTGCAAAAACTTTTGTCATTTGCAAAGCAAGTGAGCAAGTTTTTATGTAAACTGCAGTATTTTTTTTTATTTTTATTAAAGCAAGAAATAAAACTCTTCCTCACAGTTTTCATGTATAATCCATGTATAACCTTTTGGGTTATACATGGATTAGAAGCTAATCCACATTAGCACTTGTGGATTAATGCTTTGCTATAATTTACAACACTGGGGCACTCGTGTTCCCTCAGTGTTGCCTTACACATAAATGTATGCACATTTATACAGGCATGACTAGACACACACTGAACATAGTGTAAATACAGTGTTTGAGCCATCTTGAAAGGCCAATTGAAGAACTTGATGTCATGGTAATAATGCTAGAGACAGTGTAGGAGGGAGGGAATTATATTTAAATGTGAAGTATTTAACCAATAAAGGGCTCAGCAGGTCTGCCTAATTATATCATTGGCTGTGAACGGCTCCTGAGATCTGTTATTTACACTAAAACAGGACCTTTACTAAGGTAAGGACTTTAGGTGAAGTAGGAAGGTGGCACTTGTATTTTCAAACGGCCTGTCACGTGTCTGTATGCACCTCTGCAATAATCTGAAATGCATATTAGGTCCTCAGCTTTTGATGGGAATTATATGATTTAACTTTTTGGGGTGGAGATGTAAAGTTTGAGCATCACCACTGTATAACAGTGTGGGTAGGATGGCATGGCAGAGTAGGAGGAAGGTTTGGCAATTAAAGTAAAATTCTTAAATTAAAGGAATAGGTTGACATTTAGAGAAATACACTCGTTTGTTGCCAAGAGTTGGATGAGAATTTAGCTTTTGAACACTACTCTTTTTTTGAAAAGGGATAAAAACACAATCTACATTACTTGTAACTATTTGTAACTATTTTCTCAATGATATAAAACCTTTTAAAGACCTTTATTCCATTCGTGCAAGAAATTTGTAGATTTTTATTTCCATAAGATTTTATGGGTTTGTCTTAATTACTCATTTCCATTATGAATCCTTTGTTGTGGTGACTGAGAAATTACTTAAACCAGTGTACATAGCCTACCATTAGCTCATTTACAGTCACAAGAAAAAGTACTGGCACTGTTTGCAATTTCCTGGTTTTCTGCATAAATTGGTCATGAAATGTGATCTGATCTTCAGTGTCACAAATATCAACAAATACAATATTTCTAAGCTTTTTGTGTTTTTACTGGGTGCACTCAAAGACATGAAAGATCATGACTGTTTTCATTAGCTCAGAAATATTAATATTTGTGACTCTATATAGTTACATAGGGTGTAGTGGGCTCAAATGTGGAATTATGTTGAGCTAAACATTTATTAGCCAGCCAATGAGATGCTCTTCTTCCTTAGTGAAATATAACTTGACAAGGCCAATCTTTTGAACATATTTTTGATTTGAAGCACAGCTCTCTCATGAAGACAAGATCTTGTAGGTCATCAGTGCTGTAACATCACTTAACTAAGCAGAGATAGAAAAAGTAGCTGTATTCCACACTGAAGGTGAGTCGACAGAAAAACAGCTGCCAGTGGTTCCTTAAAAAGAAAAAGTCATGAATATAAATTGGATTTCAGCTTAGCTGAGCATTCAATATATGGTTAAGATGTAAGGAATAAAATGAAAATGTACAACTTTCTTTGTTCTTTTTTTTGGCACCCTGAATGTCCCCAGTGGGATAATATAAAATTATTCAAATATATATATCGACTCTTCAGTTTGAGCAAAGTGAATTTGTAATTGCTTTGCTTTGACTGCGAGTTCTGGAAATTAAGCTTCTAATTCACCAAATAAATGCCTCAACGGATATGCCACCAAGACGAATGTGAGCTAGGTCTGATGGTATCATACACATCAGTTGCTCTAAGGCCAGTTTTATGGATTGAGCTATTACTCCATGACATAAATCTGGATAAGTCTTACTGTAATGCTGCCTATTAATCTTTGCTCTACTCTCATAGTAACAAGATTATTTCAAGCCAGGGCCCCATGGGCGTAAAGCAGAGGAGGCAGCCTGTACATGCTTCACCCAAGGGTGTATGTTAATAGGCTTGAAACTGCAAAGTAGAATGTGACTTTGCTTGTCCTCTGGCTTTGAGTACATGAGACGAGGTGTTGTTCACTGCAGTCAGGCTTCTGGCCACATCCCACAGCTTGAAGCACATCGGGCTTGATGTCTTATTTTGTAAAAGTTCACACTAATTGTGATGTTTACAGTATTTGTCGTCTTTAAGAAAGACCAGAGGACAAGATAGCTGTTATGACTGACTGCCGAGTTAAAGCTGTCTTATGATTATAGTTATTAACTTCAGGAGAATGAGTTAAATTTATACTCTCTTCTATTAAACACTGATTAGTTTGCTTTGTATTGATGTATTGATGCTGTAGTGGATTTTAAAAATGGTTGTAATACTACAGTGCATTTCCACAAAATGGATGTAATTTAGATGAAAGTCAAAATAAGGCCCTTTCAGCCCATGTTGCCACCTCTACATTGGTCAGTAATTACTGTAGCTGTCAGGATGCATACAGGAGCATGTGATAATAGCCTTGCTGTAGCTCTACACTTTAAGGATAAGGCTGGCAATATTTTATACTGTTATTGTCCAGAGCGCCCATTAAAAGGCTAAAATCAAAGTTTTTGTCTGAATACTTTCTGACTTCTATACATTTTAGTGGTACTCAGCCCCAGATCTATTGGTTTCTAACAAATATGCACATTTTTAAAATGTTCAGGAGTATAAGCTGTTGAGAAATTTCTTAACAGCTCACTAGTTCACTCCCTAGTGACCACTAAGTTCAGGTTTCAGGCACTATCATCCTCACCATCACTAACAGCTGTAGATACACTCAACTATGATTTACTCATCTGTAAAAAAGTCTTATAGGATTGTAGAGGGTATCATCCATACCATGGACAATACCTTTTTCATACCACTGTTTTGAGTAGCACTAGATGTACGCACTGAGCATTTGCACACCACTACAAAATGGTGAACACAGTATATAATGAGTAGTCAGTGACTTCAGACACAACCCTGGACACTGTAATACTAAGCAAACAACACTCTTTACAGCAGTAAATAATGGATTTGTTGGGGATTGTTTTCAGCTGTGGATCAATACACATTTGATGCATGAGCCTCAGATCAAAATGAACTACCTGTGCACCCACACAAAGCCCATGTTTGTCTAAATGGAGCATTTCACCAGTGTGACAGTGTGGATCACTCATCCATCCTGTTCAGTTATTTG